AGACCAAAGCCCATAGAGAAAATCAGTGATTTTAACTCAGACCAAAGCCCATAGAGAAAATCAGTGATTTTAGTTCACAGACAACCCCTTGTACACTTTGGTCTATGGTAGAATGACTGATTTACAAACTTCAATTTCCTGCCATTGAAGTGTGTCTTACAGTGAGACAGATTTGGAACCCATTCTTTCCGATGTCCATTCACGTTGCCTGATGTACGGTCTACGTTCTTCTTAGCTGATATTTGATACTTTTTTTTTTTGTTTTTACTTTCACACAGATGTTGAAGACATGAGATCTTCATGGATTCCTCGTTCAACGGTGTAGAGCTCAACGAGCTGAGAGGTGGAGTAAGAGAAGGGAGCTGCACCAGCCAGGGCTTTGATAACGCCTCGTACCAGCAAGACGATGAGCAGATTTACCAACAGGAGGGGACGTTGAGCTGTCTGCCTTCGACGGACTCGTACAGCAACAAAAAGGTCTGATTGGTTTATTTGATTATATGATAGAAAATTCGTCTTTCTGACTTGTTTTCCTTTCCTCCCAGGATGCGCAGCAGAATCGTCATGAGCTCCGCCCACGTTCATACGACGAGGACAGAATCAGTGTTGTTGGCGCAGACAGCACTCAAGTCCCGGATTCAGGTCAGGACTTGGATCAAGGTGAGGACCAGACGGAGCAAACGCGGCCGGTCGAACAGTCTGCAGACTACGGCCTGATCCTGGCCCTGGTCCTCCTAGTGAGTGGGATTGTCTTAGTTGTTATTGCCTACACCATCCCTCGTGAGGCCCGCGTCGATCCAGACTCGGTGTCAGCGCGACAAATGGAGCAGCTTGAGCTTTACTACGCCCGCCTAGGTGCCCACCTGGATCAGTGCATCATTGCAGGCCTGGGACTGCTTACACTTGGTGGGATGTTCCTGTCTGTGCTTCTGATGGTGTCCATCTGTCGAGGTGGAATGAACCGGCGCCGAAATGCCTTTGTTCGACCCAAGAGGACCTACGGTTCCATCAACCTGAGGCTCAAACAGCTGGCCACGGGGGAGGACGTTCTGGTAGAACACACCGAGACCTGGACTAATGTTGGACCAGGAAGCAACCAGGACTACAGGTCAGGACTTGGACTGAGTGAGGACCGCCACGTGTCAGAACCAGGATCTAGCAGACGTTCTCCCACCGCCGCGAGTGAAGGCCACTAATTGTGGCTTCGAAAAAAGCTCATTGATAGCACAAGAGTTTCACAGTCCTGATCCTTGTTCTGGATTCAAATGTTTAACCCGGGCGTTAAACATTTTGACTCGCGGGCCGCAATTGTCCTAAAATTTGACGGAACCCGGGCGTTAAACATTTTGACTCGCAGGCCGCAATTGGTCCTAAAATTTGACAGAGGGGGGCCGGGGTCAGGAGCAGATGGATGGAGCGTTCGTGTGAACTAAGATAAGTGACATGTAGAAGTCACGCATAAAGGCTAAAATGTGTTTAAAATGGTCAACGCCCTCTATTGGGGAAACGTGGGTATTGCAGGGAAAGGCGTAAAAAAAGTATAATAATACAAATAAATTATATAATTTGGAAAAGTTTGGCGGGCCTGATTCAAAAGCTGAACGAGCCGCATCCGGCCCCCCGCGCCTTAGTTTGCCCACGCCTGGTTTAGCCTGATGAGTTTACGGTCACTGATGTGAAAAAACTAGTTCCAATAGAACGTGTGTAACAAATGGACACTCAACAGTTCTACGAAGAAAAGCACAAATCCAGCTTTTACACGGCACTGGGCCACCACAAAGTACCAGAAATAATTCGGACCAGGAACCAATAAAAAGGATTTCCAGTCTGGTCTTGTAACGGTTCCACAAATGTTCCCGGTACCAGGAAGGTTCCCAGCACTGTCCTCAACACAGGTGGACTCGGATGTCCTTCATGACTTGGACTCGTACCCAACTATAAGGACTTTAACTTGGACTCACACCGTTCCAGACCAAGACTGGGGTTTTAAGCTCCTAGTCCATGTCCAAAAGGTCAAAATGGTGACTCGTATGTTAGGGTACATGTGTATTAAAGTGCGACCCATGTGGACGGGGTTCTAAAAAGCTGTCATGTAAATAGCCTATAAGTGTAAACAGGGCACGTGTCGATCCACGTGAGCGGCTCAAACCTACGCCTACTTTGTACCAATGTAGGCCCAAATAAGTCACCAGAATTACTCGTGTTGTATTTAAACATACATTAATGTCACGTGACCAAAAAAAAAAAAAAAAAAAAAAACTTGCCTTAAATAAGAAACACGTACGCTGTAAAATAGTTGTCTTCAAAGTTCAGTCCAATCACCGTGGCTGGGAGTGTGTTTTCATAGGTCGGTTTATGGACCAGTCGCTAAACGTCATGAGTTGCTAAGCTTCATTTGCGTTAATTATTTTTTTGGGTTATCTTTTCAACAGCTTCCATAAAACTGTCCTCGGCTCATTTTAGTCCCGATTTGAAAACTTTTCGTCAGTTAACGTCTTCATTTTTTTTTTTTTGACAGATTTGAACAAATTCTTTGGCTAGCTTTTAGAGTTTTCAAATTCTGTCTAATCTTAACATTTGGACTCGGAAAACTTTTTCTTGAACTGCCAGTAATTTTATCTCCATTTACGTCTTCCAGCTAATGGACATTTTTCTTGTCATTTTTTTTTCCCTGTCTAATCATATCACTTTTCTGTTAGTAAATTTCTTTGTGTGATGTCGAGGCCATTTTAAGCCGCCGTGTTTGATGTTTGCTAACCTTTAGCTACTCTAGCTAAATGTTCTGATTGACGTCGTTAAGAATGGAGCAAGCATGAAGACGGTTCTGGACGTTGGATGAAGGACAGAGAATGACGGTCGGTCACATTTGTCTCTGTGGAGCACAAATGAAGACGCACGAAGAAAACAAAACCTGTAGGAGAACGAAGACGCAGAGATAAAAGGTTTTTTTTTTTTTGTAAAACTCTAAATAAACATTTAAATGTCTGACCTCCTTCTTCTTCTTTTTGTCCTCTGTCGTCTGCAGCAAAGACTAAAGAAAATCAATCTGTTTTCCTGCTGTTGCTGCAGAAAAAGAATCTATTTTAATCCAGGTCTGGTCTCAGGTGTCGCCAGAGGTCTTTCTGAGGACATAACGGAGACGCACGCGAATCAACATCAGCGGCAAGTTTTCTCTCGCCTGACTTTTACTTTTACTCAGCGACATGTGTTGTTTGCTAATGTCAGGTGACGTTTATGATTGATTTGTCCTAAATTTGAACAGGAGGGGCGTGTCAGGAGCAGATAGAAGTCATGCATAAAGGCTAAAATGCTAAAATGTTTTTTTATCACTTTCTATGCCATCTATTGGGGAAACGTGGGTACTGCAGGGAAAAGGCAGATGTTTAATGATAATATAAATAAATGATGTAATTTAATGGGCCAGATTTTAAAAACTGAACGGGCTAAATCCGGCCCCCCGGGCCTTATCTTACCCACTGCCTGGTTTGATCCTACGAGATCATTTAGGCTCAGAGTTTATAGTTGACTTATTTCCACTGATCCAAATGTCAGGGGACCTATTTTTTTTATTTTATTTGCAGCTGAGTCAGTCATTGTTTTTCAAACATCAACATTCCAGACAGAGATGTTCACCATGATTCAAGACTTCATCTAATGACACTGCACTTGTTCCAAAACCTTTCAGGATTAAATACTTGTTCAAGTAAACAAAAAAACCAGCAAACAAACATGACAACAGAGTAAACAAGCTTTTTGGAAAAACACAGACTCTCCACGTGACAGGAGCTGGTTGGATCAGGTGACTGCGCAGCTCTGACAGCACTCCGACATCAGTCCACTCCGAGAACCAAACCCATCGACCACAGTCCTCAGGTCCGGACCACAGCGTCTCCTCCTTCCTCACTTGTTCTTCGGAACTTCCTGCAGCAGCTTGAGGGCCGCCACGTTCTTGGGTTCAATCTGGAGCAGAGCGTTCAGGTCGTCCACGCAGGCTTTGAGGTTCTGCGGGAACAGCGCCACCCGGCATGTCGTAATCAACGGAGGTTGACGTAAGAACAGACATTAGAGCAGACAAATGGTGTCTAGTGTGTGGAGCCCTCTGCTGTAGGAGTTGGGGTATAGCGTGTAGAAAACTCACCTTCAGTTCTTTGTGAGCCAGCGCCCTCCTGTACAAAGCCTTGATGTTGACCTGGTCCATCCTCAGAGCCTGCTCGCAGTCTTTGACCGCATCCTGGTACTGCTTCACTGACAGGTAACACAGGGCCCTGTGGACCACAGAGCAAGTTTTCTCTCGCCTGACTTTTACTCAGCAACATGTGTTGTTTGCTAATGTCAGGTGACGTTTATGATTGATTTGTCCTAAATTTGAACAGGAGGGGCGTGTCAGGAGCAGATAGAAGTCATGCATAAAGGCTAAAATGCTAAAATGTTTTTTTATCACTTTCTATGCCATCTATTGGGGAAACGTGGGTACTGCAGGGAAAAGGCAGATGTTTAATGATAATATAAATAAATTATGTAATTTAATGGGCCAGATTTTAAAAACTGAACGGGCTAAATCCGGCCCCCCGGGCCTTATCTTACCCACTGCTTGGTTTGATCCTATGAGATCATTTAGGCTCAGAGTTTATAGTTGACTTATTTCCACTGATCCAAATGTCAGGGGACCTATTTTTTTTTATTTTATTTGCAGCTGAGTCAGTCATTGTTTTTCAAACATCAACATTCCAGACAGAGATGTTCACCATGATTCAAGACTTCATCTAATGACACTGCACTTGTTCCAAAACCTTTCAGGATTAAATACTTGTTCAAGTAAACAAAAAAACCAGCAAACAAACATGACAACAGAGTAAACAAGCTTTTTGGAAAAACACAGACTCTCCACGTGACAGGAGCTGGTTGGATCAGGTGACTGCGCAGCTCTGACAGCACTCCGACATCAGTCCACTCCGAGAACCAAACCCATCGACCACAGTCCTCAGGTCCGGACCACAGCGTCTCCTCCTTCCTCACTTGTTCTTCGGAACTTCCTGCAGCAGCTTGAGGGCCGCCACGTTCTTGGGTTCAATCTGGAGCAGAGCGTTCAGGTCGTCCACGCAGGCTTTGAGGTTCTGCGGGAACAGCGCCACCCGGCATGTCGTAATCAACGGAGGTTGACGTAAGAACAGACATTAGAGCAGACAAATGGTGTCTAGTGTGTGGAGCCCTCTGCTGTAGGAGTTGGGGTATAGCGTGTAGAAAACTCACCTTCAGTTCTTTGTGAGCCAGCGCCCTCCTGTACAAAGCCTTGATGTTGACCTGGTCCATCCTCAGAGCCTGCTCGCAGTCTTTGACCGCATCCTGGTACTGCTTCACTGACAGGTAACACAGGGCCCTGTGGACCACAGACCACAGCACTGCTCTTATATATATATACATATATATATATATATATAGACACACACACACACACACACACACACACATATATATATATATATATA